CATTGCGCAGATGGGGGAGACTGAGGCCCTTCTGGCGGATCCGCACCCCCAGCAGTGAGTCAGCTAGACCCCGGGCCTGTGGCTGCAACAGGCACCCCCTGGGCGCCCACACCCTCTGGAGCTCCCTGCATTAACCTGGGGACTCTACCCACACCCAGCAGCAGGGCGCAAGGGTGCAGGCTGGATCAGCTGATGGCAGGGTGGGGCACCCACACTGACGCCGCAGCCACCAGAGACCTAGGACCCCCCAAGATCACATTGGGCTTTGGGTGGAAACCCTGGTGTGAGAGCTCCTGACTGATGTTGGGGCCCCCGCCTGTCCAGGCTGGCCGCCATGGTTGCTGTGTGGGTGTTGTTTCTGAGGGCTGGCACCCCATGAACTGACAGACCCCAAGGAAGACATCTGGGGATGGGTGCCAGTTACTGCACACCACCGTCATTACAACCGTGACTGTGGGGTTCTGGCCACATGAGTACACAGATGGGCACACGTGTAAGTGCGTGTGTATGGGTCTGTGGACTGTGTGCAGGTGCGGCCAGGCCCCTGCTATGTGAGAGCACCCAGTCTTCCTGGGACTCACCCGGTGTGGGGGCTCCGTCATCCCCTGGAGACTGACAGCAGTTGCTCTTCTGGGCCGCCAGGGCTGCCCACGCCTTCCCAGGGGTGGGAGCTGCAGGTCAGAGACACGTGTGGCTTAGAGTGATCCCTCTGATGTGGGGCTGGGTGGGAGACCTGAGCCTGCACGTGGCCCATGGTCCCCTGTCCTGCACCCACAGCCCATGAACTGCCCATGAGAGCAGCCCCCCCACACACAGCTCAGACATGGGTTTTCCCGTCTGTAAATGGGTGATGCCTCCCTCCCTCACTACCCCTATCCCTAAGCCATGGCGGGTGAGTGAGAGTCCTGCAGGTTCATCAGTTCATGTCAGGGGAGAGGAGGACCTTCTTGAAGGTCCATTGTGGTGGGTGTCTGACTCAGGTCTCCCTGGAGCCAGACCCAGGGACTGGAGACCAGTCCCCCCTTCAGTAGCCACTGCCCCTGGACCGACCACTGCACGCAAGAGGCCCCTGGCAGAAGGGCCTGGGGGGCAGCTGCTGTCCTGACGCCTATAACTATGACTGGGGGTCCCTGCAGCTGGGGGACCCTGTCTCCTGGCCTCAGGCCCAGAGAGCAGCCTCAGCATCAGGGAAGGGCAGCTCTCACCCACCCAAGGCAGTAAAGGGTTAAGCTTGGGCCCAAGAGCGACTCTGGGTGAGAGAGCTTCGACCTGCCCTCTGCCCGGGGTCCTCCACCCTACCCAGGTTTACTGACCCCCCGATCCGCTGCATTTAGGCAGAGGCAGCCGGGAGGTTGGCTGTCGGCCTGATGCTGTTGTGTGTGTTCCCATGGGAGACTCCAGCCTGTGCCCAGACAGCCTCCTACCAGGTGGGCCGGTGGGAGAGGGAGGGACAAGGCTTCTCCAGGGCTCAGGCCGGTCCGACAAAGCCACGCCTTTGCCTACATTGTACCTACCCCCAAGCTGTCCCCAAAGTTGAGCTCCCGAAGCCAGACAGCCCAAAGGTAGGGCCCTTCCTGGTTCTGGGTTCAGCAGCCCCTGACCATGGTGCACCCTGAGTGCAGACTCGGCTTTGAGGTTCCTCTCCCTCGGGCCCCCCCCAGGGGTAATGACCATGGCTTGGGGGAAGCTGAGAAGATCCACCCTGCCCTTGTCACACCCCAGGCCTCAGTGAGGGGGACTGAGGGGGATCAGCCCTCACACCCATGTTACCCCCTGGCCAAACAGGGTGGGGCTGAGAGGCCAGTGAACAGGGCTGTCCTGTCCAAATCTCTGGGCATCCAGGGCTTGAGTGTCCATCTGGTCGTCGGTGGGCTAGCAGGAGTGGAGTCCAGCCTGGGCCCCCCAAGCTGGCGCCCTTGGCCAGGGGACCAGAGGCCTCCCTGTGATGGGCTGGCCAAGTGTGCACCTCAGCTCACTCATCCCAGTTACCGCTGAGCCCCCGCCCGTCTGCTCCCAGGCCACCCCTGTCATACCTGACGCTGCCCAGGCCCAGCCTCAGCCGCCACTGCCTTGTCCGGCCGGGGTGGCCCCTGACCCTCTGCAGGGCACCGGGCCTGCCTCCCCGGCCCTCCCGCCCTGCCCATGGGCTAGAGCTCCCATCTCAGCTGGCTGCGTCAGGCACTGGCTCCAGCAGGGAGGCTCCTCCCGGCGGGAAGGGCGGCTTTTATGCTCCCGGTCCCGTGTAAATCGGGGATTGGGATGGGCCCTTCCCGGCCGGACTTCCTGCGTGTGTTCTCCGCTGATAACGGAGATCTGTCAGCAGAACAAACAGGAGGCAGAGGGGGTGGGGGGCCGCCCAGGGGGCGGGGGTGGGGAGCGTCCCCTGGGACCTTGGAGTCCTACCTTGGATCTTCCAGGAGCCAGGCTCAGGCTCAATTGAGACCTGCTGGGACCCGGGCGGCCCCGGGTGCACGTGCTGGGAGTGGGGACACGGCCGGGGCTCTGCTGAGGCACTTTCTGAGATGTTGGGCCCAGCCTGTTTGCTCTGTGTCTCTGCACCCCAGGACACCCACCTGCACCCCCGGTTGTGTGTGAACCCACAGTGAGACTGCCCTGGGGGCTGCCTGCCAGGCAGAGGGGACGGCTGGGGCCTTCATCCGTGCAGGGGTTGGCAGAGCAGGACCCAGCAGGAAGGGGCCTGGGATGGGCAAGGCAGGCTGGGTGGTCCAAGAACAGTCTGTTCCGTGGGTGCAAAGCTGGGAGCCAGCCCCAGGTGGGGGAGGTAGAGGGGCGGATTCAGCTCAGAGACAAGGGTCTCTTCTAGGAGCCTGGCTGTTCCCCCTGGAAAGGGCCGTCCAGTGGGTGGTGAGGTCCCCGCCCCTGGAGGTGTACAAATAGGGACCTACAAAGTCCAACCCCACCTCGTGGGCATGCTCTGGGCTGAGGACACCCAGGACCCCTACCCCTGTCTCTTGGGGTGCTCTGGCCCAAGGGGCATGGTGCCTTCTCAGCCCCTCATCTGCCTCCCTTGGATCCTTCCCTTTGCCTCCAGCAGAACGAGAGATGTAGGGGTAGGGGGTAGAGGACTTGGGAAGCCTTTAAACAGCCAAAATGGGGTGCCACTGCAGATTGCAGGCTGGCCCGGGCCCCCAGGTCTGCCCCTCTGTCTCCCTGTGTAGAGCAACCAGAGCCCTGTGGACAGCTGCTATAATGGGGGAGGACATAAGTGCCCGCCTCACCATGGGGCGGGGTCGAGGGTACATGTACCAAAGGGAGCCGGGCGGCTTTGGCTAGCATGCCCCAGACTACCGAGTCAGCTGGGCACCTGCCAAACCCCAACTTTCCTTAAGGACAAGCCCTGCTCTAGGGTCACCGCCCCCCACCAGTGGCCTGGGACACCATCATTTCTGGCCTTCCCTCTTGCCCCACCCAGCTGGACGTCTCTGGCCTAGAGGGAGACCGGAGTGGCCTGGGAAATTCCCCACCGGCCTGCTGAGAACAGGAGGGAAACCTCACCCCCGTGTCACCTCACTCCTTCCTTCCCACCCCCGGCCAGGGGAAGGGTCAGCTGCGGGCCCAGGGCCGTCGTAGGTGGCAGAGACCAGGCCCTGCCGCTGCGGACGTGGGGACTTCTCTTCCCTGGGCCTCAGTTTCCCATCTGTTCAGTGGGGACAGTGGGGTGTTGTGAAAGTCAGAAGCTCCTGACCCAAGTGGGGAGGGGAGGCCCCGGGGCCTGGCTGTCAGATGGGGCCCACCCGCCCTGGGCATCTGACCCTCACCCATGGGCCACCCATCAGCCCCTTTGCTCCCTCACTCAAGGGTCCATCCAGTCTGGGCTGGGGTGTCCTGTACACAGGAATTTAGGAACTTGGCCAAGGTGGGCTGTGCTCCTCGGTCCAGAGGTGCCCCCACCCGTGTCACTGGAGCTGGCCCTCTCCTCCCAGACCCCAGAGCCGGGGCTTTGCTCACACAGTAAACCACAGGCAGCTGCACGCAGCCCTTCGGTGCACAGTCGTGAAAACTGAGGCCCAGAGAGGGAAGCAGCTCAGCCACTGGGCAGGGAGACCCAGCGGAGCTGGGACCCGTTGGGACAGACCCAGCCCCTCTCTGTCTTCCCTTCTTTTTCTGACTAAACCCACTGGGCCAGCCCCCAGACCTCAGACCTGCCCTTAACCAAGTGTGCGAACGGTTCATGGGTGAGCCCTCCCGGTCCCGTGTGGGTCTCTTCAGGAACTTTCTGGAAATGGTGCCACAGAGCCCTGATGAGCTGAGTGGTGGGATTTCAGGCGTGGAGAGAGGCGACAGGCTGGTGGAGTCAGGAGCAGCCACCATCTTGTCATGCCTCGGGGTGTGGGGGGCAGTGCTAAGTGATTCCAACACCTTGAGCTTCTGGTAAGGTGGAGCCCTGGGTTGGGGGGCCAGGGGAGCAGGACATCCGTGTTCCTCCAAGTGTCTGATGCCAGGGAGGGTGGGCTCCTGCCCAACTGCTGCTCACACCTTTGTGCACCCCTCCGCCAGCTGCGATCAGCCCCGGCAGCCGGCCCCAGCCCCACCTTTGAGGAGAGGAGGCCTGGAGGCCGGGCCCTGTCTTATACCCAACACACGGCATCACAGGTCTACAGAGCTTGGACGGTGGGACCCTAGGTCCTCAGGGGCATATCAGGGCCAGGGAGGGGCTGCCCCAGGAGGGGTGAGTGGTTGGGTGCGGGTTGGACCTCAGCGGGTGCTGGTTTTGAATGGGCTAGCATAGTGCCTAAGGCACTTGACTGCTAACCAGAGGGCTGGCGGTTCAAGTCCACCAGCCACTCCTCAGAAGGAAGGTTGGGCAATCTACTTCCGTAGTGATACTGCCTCAGAAACCCAAGGAGGGGTCGCTATGAGTTGGGTCCGACTCGATGGCACATAACAACAACAGCAACAACAAAGGGTCTGGGGGGGAGGGGCCCACCCCATGGCAGGGGTGCTGCCCTCTCCCCATCAGCCCCTCCTCTGGGCTCTGTCTCTTCCCCCTCTGACGGTCCCCGTGGGCCACTGCTCCAGGGGTCACCTTGGAATCAGGTGGTGGTGTTTCCTACCCAGGCCTGCTCCCTGGAGGCACTCAGAGGTGGGCATTGGTTCACAGTCCCAAAGTCCACCTGTCCTCAGCTGGACCACTCAGAGCCCAGAGCCACACCCTGCCCAGTGGTGGGGTGGAGCCCACCTGGTGGTCCTGGCTCGGCCTCAGGTTGCCCCATCTGCCTGTGAGTCAGTGGGGCTTGGTTGGCACAGCTGCTCGTGATGACGGGGACACACTGCTTTGCCACCCCAGAGCAGAGGGAGCTGCTCAGGCGTGGGTGCGGCAGGAGTCACCCTGAGCCTCCTGGCCCTTCCAGGGCCCTCCCGGGGCCCTCCCAGCCCTCCTGGGACCCCTCACCTCTGAGCTCTGGGCTCCTGCAGCTCCAAGAGCAGGCGGACTGAGCCCCTGGCAGAGGCCAGGGTGGGCATCCCAGGCGGCCAGGCGGGCGAGTGGCCGTGGTGCCGGGCTGCAGGAAGGAAAGACGAACCATGCAGGGAGAGATGGGGCTTCCTGTTTGTCCGTGGATCCACCGCCGTGTGGGGCGGGATGCAGCCAAGCCTTGCTCTAAGGAAGGCCCGGCCCTGATGGGGCTGTGTGGGGCTGGAGGAGGCGGTGGGCCCGGGGCCATGGCCAGACACACCTGTGCTGGGCTGGACCCCAAACACAGCGGGAGTTTGGGGCAGGGATGATGGAGCAGGCAGGCACCCCCACCCTGGTCCTGTTGGAAATGCCCCCACCCAGGGCCTCACCTGGCCCTCTGTGGTGAGGATTCTCCGTCCTCAGATCATATAGTCGAGGTGGAGAGGGGCATCGCTGTCTGAGGTCCTTACGGGAAGTGGCTGTCCTGAACAGGGTTAGGGGGTCAGGGTATCTGGCCTTTGAGTGGATCCCTGTGCCCTCTGCTGGCGCTCTCTGGCCTCTCCCCCCTGGGGACCACCTACAGCCACGGCAACCTTCCCACTGCGCACCCCTCTGCCCTCAGGCCTGGGCTCACCTGCAGCTCTCCACTGCCCCTGTTGTTGTTGTTGTTGTTGTTATGTGCCGTCGAGTTGGCCCCGACTCATAGCGACCCCTCCCTGGGTTTCCGAGGCAGTATCACTACAGAAGTAGGATTGCCCAACCTTCCTTCCGAGGAGTGGCTGGTGGGTTTGAACCGTCAGCCATCTGGTTAGCAGGCAAGTATCTTAGCCACTATGCTACCACAGCCTGGCCTAAAACATCAGGCTCTCACCTGGATGACATGACTGCTTGCTCCGGGCCTCACGAAGTACCCCTACCCCTGCGCTCAGCCCCCCAGAACTGTGTAGTGGCTGACATCAGACCACATCCCGCCCCTGACATGCGCCCCGACCCCACTCCCTACATACAACCTTAGGAAGCACTACTGTGCAGACAGCACAGCCCAGGGGCCCTCACAGTGAACATGTGTGAGTGGTACCCGCAGGAGATAGGTTCCTCACCCAGCCCTCCCCCGGGACCCCTGTCCTGCCTGTTTGAGATTTACGTCAGTGAAGTCACACGTGTGCTACACTCCATGTCACACGTGTGAGCTTGTGTTTTCCCTTTCGGTCTCCATGACCATTTAATACTCACGGGGTAGCCAGGCCCCACACACTGCGCTCAGTAATGGCTCTGGGCTACTTCGGGTAGAGGCTGCTGCAGCCTCTCTCTGCCTTCTCCTGCAGAAGTAGGCAAACCTGTCCTGGGTCTTCGAGCCAAGGACCATGCCTGGGAGAGGTAGACGTGTCCCCAGCAGCCCTCCAGCCATCCCCAGCAGTGCAGGGCAGCCTGCTGTCCACGCCTGCGTCTGCACTTGGTAGTGTCGATTTTCCCCTGGGCCATTCCTGTGTTGTTTTTAATGTAGGAAGTAAGGAGAACGGTAGTTTTTGAATAGAATTGCTCCCCAGGGGAAGCCTATGTTGAGACATTTTTTCTGGAAAGTGGGTAGGGGGATAAGAGCTCTGACCCGCCCAGGGAGCAGGGCAGCCTGTGGGGGCCGCACCCCAGGCTCCCTCTTTGCTAATAGGGGATTGGGAGTCTGGCTGGGGCTCCACTACCACCTCCATCGTATCTTTGCCTCCATGAAGCCGGGTCTGCTGGCCAGGGGCCGGGGTCAGCTGCAGACGTGGCCTGCAGGTGGGCACAGGGTCACATGGGGACCCTCAGGCACCACGGGGTTGCTGCAGAGGAAGGGGAGCCTGGCCCAGAGACAGGGCCTCCACTTAGTGCTGCTGCCAGGGCCTGAGGCCACCCTTGGGGTCCTCACAGCCCAAGGCTGTCCCTCCAGCCCAGGGGCCCCCTGGGGCTCCAGCCTCCTTCTGGAACCCAGGCTGTTGAGGCCACCCTGACCACACTGAGCTTCACGGGGGCCTGAGGAAGGGAGGCTCCTACCCCTCCCCCCAGCACCCAGATGGAAGCCCCGCTAGGGCGGCAGCCGACAGGCCAGCCGTTAACGCCAAAGGGAAAAAACACTTTATCTCGCTGGCGGAAAGGGAAGTTCTGAGAACCCGGCCACCATTGGCAGGTTCGGTGGAGGTGCAGAAGCCCCTCAGGCAGCAGCTCACAGGCCCTGCCCCCACCCCAGTGCCCGGTCGGGAAGGGCTGGGAGCGGGCATTGTTGCCAAGGGGACAGTCCAGCTCAGCGCCACCCCGCACAGCCGTTGGGGCAGAAAATGGTACCAGGAGGGGCAGTGAAGTTGCCGAGCGCTGCGTGGCCCCAGGAGTCGTCGGCCCACCTGCCGAGCACTGTCCCCTAGGGGTCCTCCGTCTACCTGCCGAGTGCTATGCTGTCCCCCCCAGGGGTGTCTCTCTCTGCCCCTGCCACAGTGCCACGAGACCAGCCCAGGACTCGGGCTGTTTGCAGAGGGAGAGACTGAGGGCCCAGGCAGTGGTCGCTCAGAGGCCGAGGCCAAGCCGAGTGCTCCAGGCCCCTGAGCAGGGCACGGGTGGCCGTGCAGGAGAGTCCGGCAGTGGACACGCCAAGAGCGTGGGGTCCCCGTGCTCAAGAAGGCTGCAGCACCCCTCCACCTGGGAGCTGGCAGGGGGTGGAACCCCTCACCTCCGGGAGTTAGTCTCCCCTGTGGGGCTGTCACAGGGCTGCAACAAGGACGGGGACCTCAGGGGCCTCACAGGCTTCATAGCTCAGTTTCCCCACGTGTCAGGATCTGGGAGACTCTGGACGCCCTGTTACCCGTGGACAGCTTGGGGCCTGGGCCTTTCCCCGGGGGTGGGGCCTGGGTCTGTAACTTCCACGAGCTCCTCAGAGGGGTCTGTGAGCCCCCAGAGCAGAGCCCCTCGAGGGGCCGACTCCTCCCACCCTCGAGCCCCCTCCTCAGCTCCAACGTCCCCTGATTTTTTTTTTTTCCCCTAAAAAATGTGAAGAGAAAGGAAGGACCGCCCAGCCCTTGGAGCAGCCAGAAATCTCTGTTTCCTCAGGGCCAGGAAACAGGAAGTGAGTGTGTGGGCAGATTGGGAGCAGCCGGGGACAATAGGGACCCCTTGGAGGGGAAGGGGAACTGCGTCAGGGCGCCGGGGCCGAGGGGGGTTCTTCCTGCCAAAAGCCCAGCGCCCCATTGTTCAGGTAGGGGCAAGGCCAGTTCCTGCCGCGGCAGGGCTCCTGTGGACTTGTGGGCCATCCAGCTGAGCCCCTCTTTCACCTGGGGGTAAACTGAGGCCCAGAGAGCCTGGTTGGGGGCCGGGGGGTGCTGGGCACGGAGCACCCTGTAGCACATGGATTCTGTGGGCTGATTCTGCGGCCACAGGTTCTGTCCGGTGCTGACTCCCACTGACCCAGCCAGGCTGTGCTCCTCTGGGGAGGCTGTCTGTGCAGGGGCCCAAAGCCCCCATGTGACCCCTACAAGAGCAGGAGAAACGGCTCCCAGCCCCACTGAAGTAGCACCTCGCGGGGAGGGGGCCGGGCGCCTTTCCCATTTCCCCCCTTTGGATGAGTGATGCCGTAATGAATATTCATGTCCATGTGTCTGTCTGAGGCCCTGCTCTCAAGGCCCAGCTAGGCGTGGGATTGCAGAGTCACCTGGTAATTCTGTTTAACCTCTTGGGGACCTGCCAGGCTGTTTCCCACAGCGGCTGCACTGACTGTCTCCCCGGCGGCTGAGTTCTGATCACAGCACACTGCCCCACACGCAGGGACAGCTGGTAAGGCTGGGTGGGGACGGGCACAGGACATGAGATAGGACCTGCAGAACCAGCAGGGCTGCACAGCACCTTCCAGAAGACTCTCATGGGCGTCACACAGCCAGGGCGGGTCCTGAGCCCCTGGCAGAGGAGTACACTGAGGCATGGAGGTGCCCCGCCCCACCCCCATGTGTGGACTTGGCTGCTACCCATGAGGTTCGGAGGTCTTCAGATCTCCTGGAATGTCCCAGGGCTGCCCCAGGAATGTGTTGCTGTCCCACACAGTGCCTGGGGAACCCTGCAGTCCCACTGAACGAGGGTCTGGGTGGCATGTCAGGGTCACAGTATCGGTGCCTCAGTTTCCCCTCCATCATGGTAATGCCTCTGAAGACACTGCTTGGAATCTGTGTGTGCTGAGCACGCTGTCACATCTGCCCCCACATCCCCACACTGGCCAGCAAGGTGGGTCCCCCGTGATCCCCACTGGGCCAGGAGCAAGCCAGGGCCACCAGAGGCGGCTGGCCCGCCCACAGACACACGTCTGGCACATGTCAGAGTGCACTTAGAACTGAGTCACCCTGCATCCCCCAGATACCCACCATTGTGTCCTGCCAGCTGCTGCTGGTTCTAGGGGTCACATGGCCTGGCATCACCGGCCCTCAGGACCTGGGTCCCTGTTTCCCTTCAGTATACCTCCGGGCTCCTCCCAGCATGCCAGGGTCCCCCACCAATGTCCCGCACCCCCACCCCAAGTGTGGCTCCCGGGAAGGCTGGCATTCCCCGGCCACACCCGAGCGTGACAGCATGCAGGCGGGCCTGGGAGTGCCCGTTCCTGCATGAAAGGCTTTCGGGCAGCGATGCCCAGGCCCCCGCAGAGGTTCCGCCCGCACTCTGAGCGGCGCAGTGGCTGGGCTGTCAGTGCCACCATCCCACCCAGGGACGCCAGCTGCACTCGCAGCCAGGACGCCCCGGGGCCCCCACCCCCAGCACCATCAGGCCCGCTGGGATCGATCCCAGTTTCCTGAACCAGCTGCTGCTGGGGACAATGGCCGGAACCCCATTCAGGCCGTGCTGGGGGAGGGGAGGCTGGCCCTGGGCCTGGGCTGGCTCCTCTCCAGAGACCCTTGCTGCCCGCGGGCTTGCTGGGCCGTCCACGGACACCTGAACGGCACATTGGAGGAGGCAGTTCCCGGCACGGCCATCAGGGCCCAGCTCTGTTCAGGGAGGGACACCCCACACACTACATCCCAGCCATGGGGGTCCTGCCGGGTTCAACGGGGCGCTACGTGGGAGGGCTCAGCGGCTAATGGTGGTGGAGTTATTGGGTCTGGCTCAGAAGGGCCGCAGGGCCACCCGCCAGCCCAGCTCGCACCCCCGGGACCACATCCAGTGGGAAGAGAAACTCGTCCCCCTCCCCCTCCTCAGCTTCTCCAGAGATAAGGGGGCAGCTGGCCTCGGAGTCTGCAAGGGGGGTTGCTCTGTGTGCGACTAGGCTTCCTCTGGTGCCAGCAAGGACGTGCCTTCTGCAGTCCTCCTTGGCCAAGGCCCATGTTTCCAGAGCCCCCTCCCCCAGCCCTTTCTGGGGCAGAGCCATCGGGCTGTGTCAGGGCCAGCGGCGTGGCCACAGCTGGGAGGGCCACTCTGGGCCGGGAGTTTCATGCAGGCGTTACTTCCTCAGCCCAAGTGGGAACAGTTTGGTTTGCGTGCAGCTCAGGCCGGGAAGGCTCTGGGCTCATCTACAGAGAGTCCGGAAGCTGTGGTCCCTAGAAACGCCCACGGAGGACCCTGTGCTGGCCATGGTTGAGTCCTGTGAGGACAGTGCTGCTCTGACCTGCTCCTAACTGGGAAACTGAGGCGTCAGCGGGCACAGAACCCACAGGCCACCTGCCTGCCACGTCTCACACACATGTGGGCAGAGGGCACATTCGCTTAGGCCACCATGGTGGTTAGTTCCCGCCGAGCGGGCTGACTCACAGCGGCCCATGGACACCGAACAAAATGGCGCCGAGCTGTGGGCCGTGTGTGTGGCCGCTGGGAGCACAGCTCGTTCTTCTGTCTCGTGTCCTGGTGGCGTATCAGCCCCCGGGGCTCGTCATATCAGACCCCGCGCCATTGGGCCCCACGGGTCACACTGGCTGAGGGTCAAAGTAGATGGCTCTGTCCTTCTTCCCGGTCTCCGTCTGGAGGTCCCCCTGAAGCCCGTCTGCCATGGGTGATCCTGCTGGTATTTGAAGTATCAGTGCCATTGCCCCCAGCATCACAGCCACACGTAAGTCACCACCGTGCGACACACTGACAGACGGGAGTGGGAGTTACTCAGGGGCCCCTGACATATGTTTACAGCGAGGGCCACCTTCTAGCAGAGCAGTGATGGCTAATGGGCCCACCGTGTGTCCACCACCATCAAGAGAAAGGACATTTCTGTCACCCCAGAAAGCAGCCCTATCCCCTCTGCAGCCAACGCCCCCATAGGTTGGATTTTCCAGGAATGCCCTTTGGGGACCCACGTGTGAACTCCCGCTCAGCTGCCTCCTGGCATCACGCTTGGGGACCGTTGGTGGTATCACGTGTGTGGGGCCTCTGAGGTGTGGGAGCCCCATGGTACATGACGCGCACGCAGAGCGGGAATTCACTGTGCTGGGCACACAGCAGGTACCCAGGGTTTGCTCTTACCAGCGACGTGACAGCTGGGGCAGGCTTAGGGGGACCCCGGAGTGGATGGGGTGAGCTCCAAGGGGATCCAGCTCAGGTTCTCTATCCCACATGTGCGCGGTTCAGACCAGACAACCCAGGTGGGTCACGGGGTCTGGAGCCGCCCACTGTCCAGGCCCCCTGAGGTCTGGACACCGTCCTCAGCCAAGGACTCCTTCTGGGCCCTGGGGGACCCCCTCAGATTGGCCTACAGATCATGGCGTGGCTGAGGGCTGAGCCACGGAGGGCTGGGGGTGGGAGGGCTGTCCCTTCTGGCCTAATGTTGAGCCAACACTCCTGTGTCAGAACAAGACAGGTTAGGACTGGGAGGGGTTCCTTCCGGCAGCACGCTGGGCCCCGCGATGCCTCCCTAGGGTGTCATGAGGCTGCGCCACAGGAGTGGGGGTGGGAGGTGAGGCCAGGGAGGGGCTGGCGGGTCCAGAGAGAGTACGCCAGCCCTGCAGGGGACCAGGCCGGGGCACTGGGGAGGCTGCTCAGCTCTGTCCAGACTCTGGCTGAGCCGAGGGGGTCTCGCCATGGGGGCCTTGAGCCCCTTTGGGCCTGGCCGGGCCCAGCCCACAGAGCGTGGGGGCAGAGGAGCCAGGCAGGCAGGGGCCGCGGGCTGAGGTCTTTCCGCCTGGCAGGAAACAGTGGCTGCACCAGGACAAAAGGCGGACGTGCAACAGGCCATGTGTGTCCTTATCAGGACCTGCACTCCCCAGCCCAGCCGGCGGTGGACGTGTTCCTCTCCCCACCTTCCTGCCCTGCTGGACAGACCCCACGGCACAGGGCACAGGGAGGCCGGGTGGGGGCCAGGGCTGCAGGGCTGCACCCCTTGGAGCCGCTGACCACACCACCCTGTCACTCCACCCCCAGCGTGTGTTTGGAGCTAATGTGATCCAAGTTGTCAGACGAGGAAACTGAGGCCCAGGAGGCATGTCCTGCCCACGGTCAGTCATATCCTGACCCAGTGCAGGAGCAGAACGTGGACCCTGCATGTGTCTCAGAGGGGCCCCACATTGCTGATACCCCGATTATGGCTGATGACCCCCACATGGCAAGGGGTCCACTTGGCTCAGCCAGAGATCTGTCCAGAGAGGAGCTGACTGACCCCAGGGCTGAGGGAACTTTCCGGAAGGGTGCCTTCCATGCAGATCAGTGGTGTTACCTGGGTGTACATGTCTGTGACAGCCCAGCAGACCGTGCGTCCAGGTCCCCGTGATCCACCCACGAGCGTGCTGATGGAACACCATCATTCCTGGAGGAGAGGTGAAGCCAGCACCCCCCTCCAGCATCACTGTGGACCCTCCCCCACCGCGGGCGGCACCAAGTCTCATAACAGGCGAAGAGAGCCTGATGCAGGCGCACGCCACATCCGAGGGCCGGCCACCCGTCTGGGGGCAGGAGTCCCAGCAGGGCCTCCCGGCACCGTTTGTCTGTCCAGGGTAATTTCAGGCTCCCCTCACCCTGCCACCTCCTGACAAGGGCCCGGAGCAGGTTGGGGAGACATCTCGCCCTTTCTGGCTTGGCAGGCTTGCAGGTGACGACCGGCCCCCAGCTCCAACCCTGGGGCGCAGTGACCGCTCAGCACAGAAAGCCTGGCCCCAGTATCCTTGGCGGTGGGCTGCGGACAAGTGGCTCTCACCCTCAAGCCTCCGGCTTCTCTTCTGAAATGGGTGGGGCCCCGGGGGCGCTGCGGCCTGGACGACAGGGCCTTCCTGTACACACGCCGTCACACACCACCCCCGTTTGCTGAGGACCACTCCATTTTCCTGAAGGAAGAAACGGGCGGGAGCAGGGCACAGCCTGGTCCCACTGGTGACATCACGACCCTGTAGGGCTCCACCCTGTTGCACGTGAGGGCAGGGGCCACGGGGAGGACCCCCACATTTGCACCCCATGACCTGTGGCTTCTCGTCTTTAGCTGGTCTGAACAGAGTTGGACCAGGGGTGACTTTGGGTAACAAGAGGCTACTGGGGCGCAGGGGCCATGCTTGCAGCCCAGGGCAGTGTGCCCACCTCCGTGGGCACCCACCTCCATGGGCAGAGCCTTTGGTCTGCGGTGGGACCCCCTCCCATGGACTCTGGCAGGGCCTGTGACGTGGCCTGTTCTCCCCTGTCCTACCTGCCCCACCACCTGTGCACCTTGCCGTGCGTGGGCCTTGGTGTCTGTCTGTAGTGGGCCATGGAGTGTGACATAGTTGGCCATGGAGTGTGAGTGGGGCTTGAGCTGAAGGTGGGATGTGCTGGCTGAAGGGACATGGCCAGGCCACCCCACATCCCCAGCACGTCTACCCAGGCCCAGGCTCCCTGCACATCCACCCAGGCCCAGGCCCCCAGCACGTCCACCCAGGCCCTGGCCAGGCCCCCAGCACATCCACCCAGGCCCAGGCCCCCAGCATGTCCACCCAGGCCCACGCCCCCAGCACGTCTACCCTGGCCTTGGCCTAGCCAGAGTCCACAGTCTGTCCACCCTGGCCCACGGCCACAGCCCATTGGTCCTGAGGAAGTCCCAGTGGCCTGGCCCCATCCACTGACCTCTCTCCTCTTGAGCAGCTCAGGGAGCAGTGGGAGGACTGAGATCACCTCCTGGTGACCTCTGAGACCCTAACACCACCCTCTCTGCACCTTGCCAGACCCCTGGGACAGTACTGGGGCTCCCTGGGTTAGGGGCTCCTTGCACTTTGCCATCATCTCTGTGCTGAGGGCTTACTGGGGCGGAGGTCTCAAGGCCACCAGGGCACTCTAGCACCCACACTAGTCCCCTCGCAGCCTAGCGACCATTTTGGCCCTTGGACTGTGGTGCTGTGGGGTGGGTGTGGCTCACAGAACCTCCAAGAGGACCCAGATGCCCCTGTCCCTTTCTGTCCCCCGCCCCTTCCCCAGCACCCAGCCTGCGGGTCCTCAGCTGCCCTCCCCCCAGCCATCAGGTTGTGACGCGCCCGGATGTGAGCAGATGGGACAAGCCTCCCAGGCAGGAGCTGGAAGCAGTTCACTCACTGCCCACAGGGTGGCAGTGTCCCAGGCGAGGGCCAGGACCCTGCCACTGGCTGTTGCCTGGGCAGCCGTGGCGCTGCCCACCGAGGCTGGGCCCTGTGGTTGACACATGTGGCTGTGCCCACTCCCCTCTAAAACCAAGGGTGGGTGGTGAGTGGCCCCTTGCCCCTGAGAGCCTGCCTTTCAGGACTTGGACTGCCCCCCTCCCAAGAGGGCCAGGGTACCTTTCCTGGGAGTTTGCCTGGGAGGTCAACAAGGCCAAGCCCGACCCCTGCCTGGCTCTCTGCCCAGCAGGGTGTACCACACCATGCGAGCACAGTAGGACAGAAGCCAGGAGGGACAGGGCATCTGGCTGTCATGGGCACCTTCACGCTGTTTCCTGGGCACGCTGAGGTGCCACGCAGACACTTCCAGGCAATGGATTTGCTTCCTCTGCACCTGCTGGGGAGGGGTCTCACCCGAGCCCCTGGGATTCGCAGGTGGAGCCCCACATGGGGCGGGAGAGCCCAGCACTCAGCTCTGGGACTTCTGTCGGTGTCGTGTCCCTGCACGTGGGCTTGGCGGGTGATGGATCTCCTGGGACTTTGAGAGGATGCCTCCTGGGCCCGGGGGTCAGTGACCCGGGACTCGCCCTCCATGCAGCTGTCCCCTCGGGCTCTATCGATGGCCAGCATCCTATTTCTGTTTTAAAATGACGTCTTCACTGAAGCACACCAACATACAGCAAGCTGCCAGGTCCCACGTGGCCAGCTTGGCCCCTGGAGCCAGTATCAAGACATGCAACATGGCCAGAGGCCCCTTCGTGCCCCCTCCCACGGGTGTGGGCCCTTTCCTGGCTTCCAGCCCTAGTGCTCAGCTCTGCCGTCTCACAGTGTGTGTGCGAGGACCCCCACGGTGACCCTACACTCCCCCGCGTCGCTTCTGCAATGGCACGCCGGGACATTCACCTGCATGCTCGTGTGCGAGACTGTCCACCCTCGTGCTGTGTGGTGCACTGTGTGGATGGTCCCCAGCCCCTGTCGGTGGACACCCCGGTGGCTGCCAGGTTGGCGCTCTCGTGACTGGTGCTGCTGTGGGACGTTCTCCTGTACGCCTTTTGGTGGACATAAGTCTGCTTTTCTAGGCAAATAAACCTCGGGCGAACTCGCCTGCCCGGAGGCTGGGCACCCCGTCAGCACTGGCAGATGCTATTTCCATCAGCTTCAGTGAGATACGTTGGCTGGTGTTTGTCAGCGCCGTTGGGTCTTTCTGATCCAGAGCGACCTTCTGTGCAGCAGGACTGCCCTGCCCCGTCCTCACAGTTGCTGTGTTTGAACCCGCTCGTGCAGCCGGTCCGTCCGTCCGTCCCGTCGGGGGTCCTCCTCGCTTCTGCTGGCCCTCCACCCTACCGAGCACGATGCCTGCTGCAGGGGCGGCTCCCTCCCGAGAACGCGGCAAAGTGCATGCTTCCACGGGCGTTGATTGTGGGTCCGAGGGAAATGAAATCCTTGACAATTTCGCTTTCCTCCATTTATCGTGGTACGCTCATTGGTGCAGTGGTGAGGACTTTTGTTTTCTTCATGTTGAGGTGGGATCCATATTGAAGGCTGGAGACTGATCTTTCTCAGTAAGTGCTTCAGTGGTAAATGCTTGAAGCACTTACTGAGAGATTTAATGTCTGTTTAATAAAATGCCCTGTTTGGGGTGTGTAAGTGCCCACACCCATGTGACTACCACCACAGTCAACACAACTCTCATCAGCTGATTTCTGGACGCGGGTCACCAGGCCCTTTCTTCCTAGTTTCCCTTACTCTGGAACCTGCTTGGCACCCGAGCGACACCCAGCCTCCACTGACAGACAGTGGGGGTTGGGCATGGGGCGCGTGGCTGGGAACCGAGCCCAGGTCACCAGCAAGAAGGTGAGGCTTCGACCACGCTACCACCACTGCCCCCGACACAGAGTGAGCATCATCACCGACGAACACTGCACCGGGGAACCAGCCTGCATTCCTGCCACAAGGTGCCCTTGGCCACGGTGCGTATCCTTTCTACGTGCCGCCCAATGTGATGTAGTGTCCTGACATCTTGTGAGGGACTTTCGTGCTTTTGGTCTGTAACTGTCTTTTCCTGCGAAGTCTTGTCTCGATGGCCTTAGCGTAACAGTAGCCTCACTTTGGCCATTGTGAATAATGCTGCAACAAACGTGGATATGCATAGGAATAGTAACCCCATGGTATCTTATTTTTGAAAGAATTTGTGTAGAACTAATATTATTTCTTCCCTAAACGTGCCATTCACCAGACTAGGCATTCTCTCTGTGGAAAGAGTTTTCCTTGTGATGACCTTTCCTGGATAGACATTAGGCTTGTCTGAGTCTGTGTTTCTTCTTTGTTCCAGTTCTGATCATTTTGCTTCATTTTGCTGAATTTTTCCATTTCTTGTAAGTGTCAGATGTTTAGTTGCCAGGTCATTTGTAATCTGAAGTATTGTCTTAATGGCTGTGAGGTGGAAGACAACATCTCCCAATTTGTTCCTGATATTGGTGTTTTGGTTTCCTGGTGCTGTTCCAACAGAAAATACCACAAATGGGATGGCTTTAACAAACAAGAGTTTATTCTTACAGTTTTGGGAGGCTGGAAGCCTGAGTTCAAAGTGCCAGGTTCTAGGGTCTGGGTGAAGGCCCCTTGACCTTGGACTTCAGCTCTGCCTCCTGCTCCCGGTCCACTGGAGCTGGAGGCTTTTCTTCACTCAGGCAGCTGCTGGCTGCTGATGCCGACAAGCCCAAGGCTGACAAGTAAAAAGGCACAGTCCCCATATCACCAAATCCCACGGCAGGCCACTAATTCGAGTCCAGAAAACGTCCCAAGATCGGCAGAGCATGGCAGCCTGCCAAACAATGACTTGGCTACGTGCAGGATTCAAATGCGCCAAAAAGCTAGAGACCATTCCCAAAGCTGCTTCTTACAGAGGGCAGCAGACCCATCCCTAAAGCAGCTACTCAGCTGCTCCGGTAGTTCCCACCGTGGAGCTGATGGCCAGCCTCACCACGGGGAGTAACTACACCCAGCTGCCCAGCCCCTCAGCCCGCCCGGCCAAGTTGCCACGTGACCTTCGCCACCACAGTGGGTCGTTTGCATCTTCTGTTTTTCTGAAGCACTATCAGCTCTCTGCTCTCTCAGATCACCGACGTTTGATTTAATTGGTTCTGTCTAGTCTCTGTTTCCTCTGTAGGCACTCTTAAGTCTTCAACTTAGAGTGGGTTGAACCCCCTCTTCTCTTCCTGGTTTCTTCAGATGCAAACTTAGCTCCCTGACTTCACAGCTCCTTTCTAATGTAAGCGCCTCAGAGCTCTAAGTTTAGAGGGACACTGCGGTCCACCCCACATATTTTGAGGTGCGGGGGGGTGGGTTTATTATTCACGAGTTTGCAACATTTCCTGGCTCCCTAGGGGGAGCAGTGTGTGCTTGGACACGGTTGGGACTCCCGACCAGGCTCTCTCTGGAGGGCAGCCCTGAGCCCCTTCTTCCCGCACTGGGGGCTGGGTGGCTGAGGACACGAGGAGAGGACACCAGGCCCAGAGCCCCAAGCTCCGGATCCCGGCCCTGGGCTGTCCTCGGGGACTCGGGTGGGGTGGGCAGTGCACCCAGGCCTCAGGGCCCCCACGGTCCCCGCCAGCGGGGCGCTCTGCTCCGGACACCGGACAACGAGAGGGCTCCTCCGGGGCGGAGCGAAGACCGAGCTGGTGTAGAGCCGCCTGCGGCCACGAGGGGGCAGTGTGGCTCCAGGAATGGCCGGTGCGCGCGGTGGGGTGTGCGCGTGCGTGTGCGCGCGCCGCTGTGCAGGGCGGACCAACCGCTTGCCACACATGCTCTCGCAGGACTTCTCTGACCCTCGTCCTGAGCCCCTCCCGCCACGACCTGTCCCCCGCTAGCCCAGGCCCCCCTTGGGAGGGCATCCCCTAGTCCCGTCTTGGGCGGTCAAGGGGAGGCGGACGCAGCCCCCAAGGGCGCCAGGAGGTGGCGGACTAGGCCCGGGATGGAGGGGTCTGGGGAGGGGGCGGGGGCCCTTTGCTGGAAGAGGCTGAAGGAGACTGGTCCGGAGCGCAGCCCTCTCCGCAGCCTCTGCTCGGGTCTGGGGGCTCTGCCCTTCTCAGCCCCCGCACACGGCAAGCTTGGTCTGGGAGCGCGGCTTGGTTTTCAAGCCCCAGGGTCAGGTATTAAGCACCTGCTGGGAGCAGGTGGGCGGGGCCGGGGTGGGGTCAGGGGCCTGGGGTGGGTAAGCCGTGCAGCCCTGCAGATGGGAGGGGCCCAGGGTGGTCAGAGTCACTGGACTTTCCGGAGTGCAGTTTAGGGGAGCCGTGGGACACCACAGCCTGGAAGGAGTGGGGGGCAGGGCAGAGCAGGTGCCTGCTGGCTCTCTGCCTGGGAACCCTGTAGTACCCGTCTGCTTACCCGTGTTGGGGGCTGGCTGGCCTGTGACTTTGGGCCTGGGGTTGGAGGTGGGGCGGGGCTGTGGGGGCGGCATTTTGCTGACCAGGCTCCTGGGGAGGGCTCTTGGGGTGAGGGGCATCCTGAGCTGGGAGGGGCTGGTCCCTGAGGGGAGTTTCTGTTGTGCCAAGGTGGGCGGGCCAGGGCGGGGTGGTGCAGGTGTGTTGGACAACCCCCCACACACACACCCAGACCAAACAAATCAAAGCAACAGCATATGGTCAGCAGGGCCTGTGTCTGCCAAGAAAGGGCTGGGAAGCAGAGCTGACCCAGTGCTCACTGGCCCAGGGCATGTCCCGGCCAGTCAAGGTCTCCGTGTGCCCAGGGCCACAGGTCCTGGTGCTGCCTGAAAACAGGTACAGAGCAGACAGCAATGAGGGCAGTGCTCGAGCCAGGACCCCTGTCTGCCGGGACCCCCAGTAGGATGAAGGAACCAGTGTTCCTGGAGTGACCAGGCAGCCAGACCCGGACCCGTTCTCCCACCAGCCTCGCCTCACCCTGACCCAGAGAGACGTACAGACAGAGACCTGGACACTCACACATGTACCACATATACATACACACGCAGACATATGTACACATGCTGGACACACAGACACTCTGCACACATACACATGTGTACACGTCACACACATGCAGACATGTTCAATGCCATACACACACCACACACACATACACACTGACACATGTACACATCACATGTGCACACATGCACCATGCACACATACACAAAAATACACGTGTCATGCAAACACCATGCACACACACATGAATACATGCCACATAGCCACACATGTACCACACACATGTGAACATATGTACATGTGTGCATGCACACCACGCATACACAGGCACATGTACACATGCTGTGCACAGAGACACTGCACACACATGGACATATGTACACATGCTACACACACCCACACCATGCACACATACACAGACATATATACACATGCCATACACACAGAGACACATGTATACATGACACACCACACACATACACACAGCCATATCTACACATGCCACACACACACCACACACACATATGCACACAGACATACACACACATGCACCATGAAGGCACACACACGAGACACACATGCACTCCCCCACACGCATACACTAGCACCTGTGCATGCACACACACATATGCACACCCTCACATCCATAAGTTCAAACCCACCAGCCACTCCTTGGAAGGAGACTGGGCAATGGAGAGACACTGCCTTGGAAACCCCAGGAGGGGTCGCTGAGAGTTGGATCCAGCTGGACACCAGTGAGTGTTTTTGTTTACATACGTAAGCACACGTGCATACACATATGCAGGCCCCACATGTGAGGCACACACACATGGTAACACCACACACACACACACACGTGCACACATGTGCACACACGTGCACACCCATACAGTGGTAATGAAACAGTGCAGGGTGTCAGTTCTTTACACTGCCCCCTCCCCCACAGGCGCAAAGCCCAGAGAGGGGCCTGGGGGCTTGGTCAGGCGCCTCTGAGCCCAGTTTCTCATCTGAGAAGTGGGGTGGGAGCTCTCGTGGCGGGGTGGCAGGACTGGCTCCCCCCACAGGTGTCACGGGCAGGCTGCAGCCTGCAGGCCTGGGCCGTCTCGGGGAGGCCCTCTGCCTGGTGTCCTCCAGGGGCTCCAGCAGGGTGGGTGCCCTGCTCTGCTCCTGGGCTGGAGGCCGTGGGAACACGCAGAGTGGCAGGTGCCGTGCTGATTGACGGTAGCTTCTCCGGGGAGCAAGGAGGGAGGAGTGCAGCAGGAGGCAGGACTGGGGGGGCCCCGAGGCCCCGCCCCCTCCCTCCTGGGGGGCAGGTGAAGCTCCTGACCCAGGTGGCCCCTACGCCTGCCTCTGACCCTCAGCACCCCCACCTGAAGACCATCCCACCCAGCGTGTCATTGAAGAGGTGGGGAACTGAGGCCGGCGCAGGCCCGCCTCCCCATCTTTCCCACGGCCCGCCAGGCGAATGCTACCCGCTTGGGTCCCAGCCCCACAGCTCCTCGGCCCCTGGGCTCCAGCCTCAGCAGCCCCTCAGTCCAGCAGCCCGCTGACCAGATCCCATCCGACTCCTGCCTGAACCCTCCTGGGTGCCCACTGCCTGCAGGACAAAGATGGGCTGGCCCCCTAGAGACTCGCCCCAGCCTCAGTCCCCCACCGGCAGCCCCCAGCTCAGCCCAGGGCCAGCCACCCAGCTCCTCCCTGGGCGGGGCTCTCAGCCCAGGAGCCCCAAGCTGGGGCACCACTCCTGGGCACAGTGACCAGGCCTGACAATTTCAGGGGCTCAAGAAACGTCAATTTCTCTTAAAATCAGGAGAGAAATGGTACGAATATGTGATTTTAAGAGACTCACTGATACAGCCACTCGGTCGGACTTTTTACCACTTTTAGAGTCTTTTTTCAAGAGGAAGGGCCCGGGATGGCGCATGTTCTACATCCCCCTGTGGGGCGCCCCACCCTCCACGCCGAGAGCCACCTTGACCGAGCTGGGGTTACTCCTGCCGTGGCTTCCTGCCTAGACCAGAGCCTGGGTGGGGCCGAGTCCGAATGGGAGGCCCGTGGACGCAGCAAGGCCCCGGAGGACCCAGCCCCTCGTCCCCTGCCTGCACGGCCTCCCCGCCCACTGCTCCAGGCCCCTCTGGCTCTGAAGCCTGGGTGCCCCCAGGGCTTCACTGGCCTTGGGGAGTGGTTGGCAGTGCCCTTCACTGGCCTTGGGGAGTGGTTGGCAGTGCCCTTGTTGGAGGGTGCCACAGGGGAAGGCTTACCAGGCTGCTGGTGCCAGGGGGACTGGAGGCTCCCGAAGCCCCCTGTAAAGTGGGTGATGAGAATGACTGTGGCCAGTAAATGCAGAAAGGAAAGGCCTTCACGAGGGCGGCTGAGAGCTGGGCAGCCACAGAGGGGCTCGAACCGGGCTCCCGGCCCTGCTGGGTGAGAGGCCTGGGGGGAGCTGAGGCCTGTGCCAGCACCCGCCCCACCCCCTCCATCATGGGGGTCACAGAGCGGCCGGATCCGGGCAGGTGTTACCTCCATCTCTGGGGTTAGCCTCATCTGGGAGCCGGGCGAGGGCCATGTGGGGTGCAGGTGGGGTGCTCACAGTGATCCCGGCACTGTGAGTGTTCTGTTCATCTTCACCCCAACTCTGTGACAAAGGGACTGCGAGGACCCCACTTGTACTCGGGAGGACAGGCTCCATGAGCTACACAGCTGCCCAAGCTCATGCAGATGTGCTAGCCAGCAGGCTGCACTGCCTGGTCCCAGCTGGATGGGCTCTGACTTGGGGCTCAGCCTGCCTCCTCTGGGGCTCCAACTCTCCGGCCCCAGCCATGCAGGGCCAGTGGGGCACAGTAGGGCCCAGACTAGGGGGCTGGGTGGGGAAGGGGCCCCTGGGGGAGGCCCAGACCCTGGATGCTCCAGGTGCTACGGGGCTCTGGGGTTTTCCCCTGTCCAGGTGTGGGCTAGGATGGCGTGGGGGCGGCAGGGGGCACGGCCATTTCTCGGGGCTTTCCTGTGAGAAAGGCCCTGGGCCACACCTTCATGGTGACTATCAGGAGTCAAGCATGTTGCTGGGGTATGTCAACATGCAGGGCTGCCAGCTGGCATCTGGTGCCCGGGCCGGCGGGGCTCAGGGCTGGAGGGGCTGGGTGCCATTTATAACCTCGCTGAGATCAGGTACATGTCATACCCTCTGCATGCCTCTCCTGTGACCTCCGGCCCCCGTGTTTGAGCTCTCGCTGGGCAAACAGGTGGCCGATAAGGCTGAGATTAGAGAGGACACTTGAGCTGCCAATAAACACGGCTTCTTCCCCTCAAGGCAGGTTCCCAGAATCAGACCCTCAAGGACTGGGTTCAGACGCCCATCAGCCCGGGCTTTAGGCTGGGTCAGAGCCTCCCCCTGCCAGGGGGCCTGCTGGCTGGCCAAGGACCCCCAGTGTCTCCATAAAGAGACTGATGTTCTCCGCCTCAGAGCTGCCAGGAAGCCTGGAGGTACGGAGGTGACCCACCAGCACACAGCAGGAGCCCAGTGAGAGTGGGACGCCTCCTGGCACTGCCCACTGTCCCCCCACCCTCCCCCGCCTGCAGCCCGGTCTTCCCACTGTGCCAGCTCACACACGCCCAGGGAGAGGTGTTCGGGGACCGTCACCTCTGGGACCCCCGCAGTGATGCTGTCCAGCGTAGGGAGGGAGAGGAGGATGTGCTGCCCCAGTGGACCCCGTGCAGGGCTGGCGATACAGAGGCCCAGAGGCAGAGCCCGCCGCCCCAGGACCTGCAGATAGCTGGTCTGTGCCGGGATCAGGAGCCGGTCTCCGGCTGGGCTCAGTAGTCAGTCCATGGCTAGAGCAGGGCTGTCTGTGGCTAGGCT